ATGGAAAGAAGCCCCAAATAAGCAAAATACTCCTTAAAAAGAGAAACAATGTAGGAAGCATCTCACTCCCTTATTTCAAATCCTACTCCACGGCCATGGTGGTCAGGATAGCCTGGTACTGGTACAATGACAGACACATAGATCAATGTAATAGAATTGAGAACCCAGAAACTAACCCATCTACGTTTAGTCAACTGATTTTTGACCAGAAGATTAAATCAGTTACGTGGGGAAAGATAGACTTTTTAGCAAATGATGTTGGCAAAATTGGGAAACTATCAACAGAAAACTCAAGCAAGATCCACACTCACTCCATACACAAAAACCAACTCAAAGTGGGTCCAGGACCTAGGACAAAAACCAAGGAAGATAAACAGCATTAGAGAAAAGCTTGGAAGAACTCTAGAAGTCTTAATCCACAACATGAACAGTCTTCCAAGCACCCTACAAAACCTAAAATCAAGAGAGGATAAAATAGATGAATGGGAGCATCTAAGAATCAAATTCGTATGCACATTCAAAAACTTCTTCGACAGGGTAAAAAGGGAAGCCACAGACTGGGGAAAAATATTTGGCAATGACATGTCCAATAAGGGACTTATATCTAGAATTTATAGAATATTTGAGTGCCACAACAAGATAAAGATAAAAAAACCCAATGAAAAATGGGCACAAGATACGGACACTTCACCAAAGAAGACATTCAGATGGCAAACAAACACATGAAGAAGTTTTCAAAATCCCTAGCTCTAAAAGAGATGCAAATCAAAACAATTAAGAGATATCATCTCACCTCAGTAAGAATAGCAAAATTCAACAGAATAGCAAACAACAAATGTTGATGAGATTGTGGAGAAACTGAAACCCTTATTCACTGTTAGTGGGAGTGTAAAATGGAGCAGCCACTATGGAAGACAGTATGGTGCTTTCTCAAAAAGTTGCAAATATTCAATCAGCAAATGCACTACTGAGAATATACCCTAAAGAAACCAGAACTGTCACGCAAGCAGATATATACACACTCATGTTTATTATTGCATTGTTCATAATAACAGAGTTGGAAACAACCCATGTGCCCATCAACAAATGAATATATAGAGAAGCTATGGTATATTCACTAACGGAATACTATATACAGCATTGAAAAAGAAGGAACTCATAAACTATTCTACAAAATGGGTGACCCTAGGGGACATTATGGTGAGTGAAATATCTCAGTCACAAAAGGACAAATACTGCATAGTGCCACTTTTGTAAAGTGGAACTGACATTAGTGTTGAGGGAACCTAAGAAAAGATGGGTTAAGTAATGTACACAGATGAGAGAGAAAACTTTTTAAAAATAATATATGAATATGCATTATTTTCATGACAAGATTCCAGAAAAAGAAATGCATAATTAAGTGGACTGTCGACTTGGGGGGAGATGGGGATTGTATAACAATGAAAGAATTCTTTTTTTTTCTTTTCAAAGAGAAAAGTGAACTGCGGAGAGGGGTGGGCAGGGAGGGAAATGTGCAACAATGAATGAATGGGGGAAAAATTAAATGGGAAGAATATGCTGTAAGAAATTATTTTAACATTGTTGGAGATTTTTTATATATTTTAGTAACTTAGTCCCATAAGGAATCTAATACAATTATTTAGAATTTTAATTTGAATTTAAACTATTTTTTTTAACTTGGGACTAAAGTTTTCTGGAAACAATAAAAAAATAATTCAGATGTTGAATGATAGTTCAGAAGTTTAAAAAAAGTTGACTAAAATTCCTTTGTCAAAATAAAAAGAAATACTTTTAGGGAGTAATATTTGCTCTAGTTTCCCCCTTTGATTTAGCTTAGACTTTAAGAATTCTGCCTTATAATTTGAGACTCTCTCTCCAATCATGCTTTAAACTTTTCACAGATATGGCTTTTTTTCTTTAACTAACCCTTTTCACCTCTAGTTTCAGCTCAGATGCTTCTTCCTGGGAGACCTGGCATATCTGATCTAATAATCCCTAGATTTTTCTGATTCAGCTGGTGTAGACCAGATTTGAGGATGTTATCCTTTATTTATCTTTGCACTTTTCTGATATTCGATCTCATTTAGCACTCCAAAGATTTCTATAAACCTTTATGCTATCATTTAACACAACAACTATATTGTGTTTATTATGTTATAATTTGCCATTTCTATTCTAACATTATTTAGATGATTTTTAACTTTTGTTAAGTAGCATGCAAACAAATATTCTTGAACTTAACTATGAATGTCCACCCAATCAAGGATGGAAAGAGAACTAATAAAAGATTATGCATAGGTTTACAGTGTCTACTAAACACAATTCTTGGTAGAATTTATTTGCTGAAACACAATAAATTGGTTATCTAATCAGATTAAAATGATTTAATCAAAGCATTATTATTTGCCAAATGCCCTCATTATTATGTACCAAATCAATAAGGATGGCAGGATAAGAATTGATACCTTTGAGTTAAGGTGTTGGAGAAGAGCACTGAACATCTCATGAATTGCCAAGAGAATGAACAGATATGTCTTGGAGAGGGTGCAGCCAGAGTGCTTTTTGGAGTCAAGAATGATGAGGTTTTGCTTCATATACTTTGGGCATGTTGCTATTCCTTGGAGAAGTACATGATGCCGGAAGAGTGGAAAATTAGCGAAGTACAGGAAGACCCTCAACCAGATGGATTGACACCATGACTGCTTCGATCGGCTCTTGTGTGTCAGGAAGTATGAGCACGGTGCAGGATAGAACAGGGTTTAGATCTTTTGTTTATAGGATCGCTATGAGTCTAACTTGACTCGATGGCACCTAACAAAAACAACAACACACGTCCTTTATTAGTTTTAGGCAAATAAACTGAACATCATTTTAAGAATAAGGCCTATCAGTGAGCTCTGGTGGCCTAGTGGCAGGACGCTGCATTGCAACCCCAGAGGTGCTAGAGAAGGAGAAACAATCTCCTCCTGTACCAGTCGGATCAGATTTCATGGAGAAGAAGGAGGCGGAGG